TATATAAGATGATATAATTTATATATGAGATTATATATATAACCATATATAATTATAACCATATCTAATTAAATATCATTTTATTTAATTATATTTAAACAATTTGTTCCTGAATGATAGGGGAACTTGGGGTATAATGAGACCACGAAGCATAATGGAGTATGGTCGAAAACTTTTTACAGAGATGCTGTCATGCAATAAAACGTTTTGCCATTATTACTGTTAAATGTCTCTTATCACATACCATTATTAATTTTCATATTATTTTTAGTTGAAAGATGCTACAAATTGTTTAATGCGTTTACTACATTCTCCGCATCTCTACCACAATTTGCTAGGTATGTTTACACAAGTTAAACTATGACAAAATTCTTTTTTCGTTTTCGTATGAACATTAATCTTATTAAACCATCTTTTCTCGTCATTTTAATCAAATAAAAACCGATTATCTCTAACGTTTTGTATTATATAATCCAAACTTACACATGTCTTGGCATAAAGAGATTATACCATTATGTTCTTAAAACATTAAGTTATATTATTTCTGATCGTATGCTTGTTTTATTTTATATAATGAATTATATATATTTTTTATATATTATATACCAGGTATGTCGGTAATTACTTTCCGGTTTTTGTAACAGATGTCACTAGTCATAAGTATGCAATGTTATGATTTGATACATATGTCATTCTATTCTACTGACATTAACTCAAAACTACACAAGTTACGTTCCGCCAAAATAACAGCGTTATAGATTAATAATTTTTGAAAATATCGAGTTTTGTGCCTGAAACGTACATTTGCGGCACGCATTACTTTTCTTGTTTAATCAAAAGAAAAAGCCGCTGAAAGTCATCGTTGCTGGTAGAGACTTACGGTGAGCATGCTCCAACCATAAGAACATGTGAAACGTGGTTTCGACAATTCAAATGTGGTGATTTCAACGTTCAAGACAAAAAACGTCCTGGTAGGCCGAAAACGTTTGAAGATGCGGAATTGCAGGAGTTATTGGATGAAGACCCAACACAAACTCAAAAACAATTGGCAGAAAAGTTGAATGTGAGCCGAGTAGCAATTTGTGAACGATTACAAGCGATGGGAAAGATCCAAAAGATGGGAAGATGGGTGCCACATGAATTGAATGACAGGCAATTGGAAAATCGAAAAATCGTCAGTGAAATGCTGCTTCAAAGGTATGAAAGGAAGTCATTTCTGCATCGAATAGTAACGGGTGATGAAAAATGGATTTATTTCGAAAATCCCAAGCGAAAAAAATCATGGTTATCACCTGGCGAAGGCGGCCCATCGACTGCAAGGCCAAATCGCTTTGGTCGCAAGACCATGCTCTGTGTCTGGTGGGACCAGGTTGGTGTCGTATATTATGAACTGTTGAAACCTGGAGAAACAGTTAATACTGATCGCTACCAACAACAAATGATCAATTTGAACTGTGCATTGATCGAAAAACGTCCACAATACGCTCAAAGACATGATAAGGTGATTTTGCAGCATGACAACGCGCCGTCTCATACAGCAAAACCAGTCAAAGAAGTGTTGAAATCACTTGGATGGGAAGTTTTATCGCACCCGCCGTACTCTCCAGACCTGGCTCCATCGACTACACCTTTTCGCATCGATGGGGCACGCGCTTGCAGAGCAGTACTTCGCCGATTTCGAAGAAGTTAAAAAATGGCTCGATGAATGGTTTAGCTCAAAGGAGAAACAGTTCTTTTGGAATGGCATCCATAAATTGCCTGAGAGATGGGCAAAATGTATAGAATCAAATGGCCAATACTTTGAATAAATATATTTTAACTATCCATTGTAAATAACGTGTTTTCTTTAGCGAAAAACCGGAAGGATTACCGAACGCCTGGTATATTTATATAATGAAACGAAGATAAAAGCTGGACGCTAAGCCAGTGAAAGATGAAAGTTGAACGCCAGCAGCTGAAAGCTAGAAGTTTGGCGTTTCAAATTTTACGGGGATATTTTTTGTAGCAATTTATTTCTGTCAAATAATGACCGAATACGTTTTCATACGTATTGATTAAAATAACTTTTATTAATATTATATAAAAATTTTTTAATTTAGTTATATGCGCTTTACGATTGTCGTTTTAATTTTACAGGCTTCTAATTGTATATAATATTTCTCTTAAATTTTATAATATATTATTAAATATATTATGTGCTAAATAGGTGAATCATATTTGATAACATTTAAGCGATAATATAAAATTCATTCACACACATACATAATAATATCTTATAATAAACTGTTAGTTATCTAGTTTATATTTTTTTTAATTTTGGGTTTATTATCAATGTATCATGCACGTCATGCACAATGCGTCCCCTTTTTTATTCACTTCGACTTTTCTGTAAAATTCAGGTATAAACATAAATCACAAATATGTGATTCAGGAAACAAATGAGAATAAAAAGACAATTGATCTAGTATGCTGTTAGTTGTGCATCAATTATTTACTTTTAATAATCATAGTTAAAATTACAAATATCCATACGTATGTTCCAGTCGGTAATTTTCGACTTTTTTCAATAGTAAAATATAAAAATTATAATTCTGCATTTGTGTGATAGTTCATTCGGGAATCGCGGAGATAGCATTTATAATTGTACGTCATATATGTAAGTTTGTGTTACTCGAAACTTGTCTGTGTAAAGTCCTTTTTGTAACAATGAAGGATTTATAAAATATTCCGTCAGCGAATCCGGTAAACGAAAGTTGAGTTTTTATGACTAGATAAACGTGAATCACCAAATAGTAAACGTCGAAACCCCGCTATTTGCAAATATTATGTGGTGAAAGTCAAAACCCTATAGCGCCAATGGCCTCATAACAACGTGATTCACCTGTAGGTTAAACAAAAATAAGGAGCAACGTAGATTCGCCAAGGAAAACAACTTCAACAAAGTAATCGTCACCAACCGAGTCAAAACAAGCAATCACAATGAAATCAAGTACGTGGTTCAATAATAAACAATACCATTATTCGCGTCGATAAGAGATATAATAACATTGACGAGTATTGGCGTGCGTCCACGTTCAAAAATCAAGGGTGAGTGACGAGTAGAAACCAAACGGCAGAAAGATTAAATATAAACTCGAAAATCTGTTGTAAACAGATCTAAGTATAATTTGAGTATTTTAATGATGGTAGATTAATTCAAAAAATATACATTTGAAATTTCTGTACAAATAGCGTGCCCAACGCATTTGCTTACGTGTTATATATGCGATTTATCTGTGCTCACATGTTTATTTGTGTAAAGGACTGGTTCACAATGCTCCGATTGTGCTAATAATTTCTATACACTAACTTTTATGAGTTGATATGGAACATTACATGACAACGTTCATGATTTTTGAATGTTAGTGTTATTGTTTTTGTCGAAATAATGAAGGTGCCATGCGACCTCCATGCACACTTCATAAGTAACATATAGAAAATCATTACACATCGAGCAACGTGAGACTAAGCCTTAATATGTGATATTCATATCATTACATTAATTATAACATAAGAAATATGCACAAGCCGTCTTGAAGCATAGTTGCAATTGCAGAGAAATATCACAGCGTACCTATCTACAGTATCTATCTACTCAGGCAGCGCGGCACATATACATGAAGCTTTCTCATTGCGTTTTGTCCAAAATATAAATACCATCTTCATAATATTATATATGAATGGATTATGGTATTAATGCTTTACCAATTTTTTTCCTTACAAAAAACTTAAAAATTTTCCAGAGTAACGAGAAGAGAGTAGATCAACATTTGAAATTTTAATAAAATGAACACGGTTGCAAAGAGCATTAAATATTGCAAAACTTTGTCTGAAACTTTTTTTTTCATAGGACTCATAATTTAGAAAATATTTGCAAAAACGATAACGTTATTTTTTCAAAGGGTAGTTCACCCCTGAAACATGTCCGAAAGCCGATATAAAAAAATACGTATCCCTTAGTTTTCGATGCTGTACAACATATCCGAAGCCCATTCAANCATTGATCGAAAAACGTCCACAATACGCTCAAAGACATGATAAGGTGATTTTGCAGCATGACAACGAGCCGTCTCATACAGCAAAACCAGTCAAAGAAGTGTTGAAATCACTTGGATGGGAAGTTTTATCGCACCCGCCGTATTCTCCAGACCTGGCTCCATCCGACTACCACCTTTTCGCATCGATGGGGCACGCGCTTGCAGAGCAGTACTTCGCCGATTTCGAAGAAGTTAAAAAATGGCTCGATGAATGGTTTAGCTCAAAGGAAAAAACAGTTCTTTTAGAATGGTATCCATAAATTGCCTGAGAGATGGACAAAATATATAGAATCAAATGGCCAATACTTTGAATAAATATATTTTAACTATCCATTGTAAATAACGTGTTTTCTTTAGCGAAAAAACCGGAAAGGAATTACCGACACACCTGGTACATAATTTTCCCATTTCTTCCCAATGTTGCGTATACGCAACACAAAGTTTATATAATTCATTATCAGTAATTATTTTTTTTTCACGAAGTGTTAGACTAATTGTGAAATAAGTTCATTTTGACTGCATTTTGTGAAGTTAAACTTCGCGTACACGCAACATTGGGAAGAAATGGTGTGTTAAGTACGCAACATCGGTGCATCGTCATCAGTGGGATATACATTAGTGATTGATTGGGATTTTTTTTTTATTAAACATCAGTGATTGATTAAGAATATATACATACATTAAGCACGCAACATCAGTGCATCGTCATCATCAGTGGGATACATTAGTGATTGATTAGGATAATTTTTGATTAAACATCAGTGATTGATTAAGAAGTAAGTATGATTATTAACAAAAATGATTATTAACAAAAACATGCAAGGAAGTTTACGAATTTGCGCAGAAAGAAGCTTCGGACATTCTTGCTATAGAAAATCTCAAGAACTTCACACCGCCGCGAAAAAAGAAAAAAGCATCAGTTATGGTCTATGCATTGCCGGAAAATACGACTTAAGAAGGACTCGGGTATGTTAAATTTTATACTATCCCCTCATCTTATTTGCCTCTAATTCATACGTTTCATTTGAATGAATAGGTGCTAATCACATGCACAATTTTGCACCTTGTGATCATCCCGGCCGTCAGTGTGATAATTCATGCCCATGTATACAAGCACAAAACTTCTGCAAGAAATTTTATCAGTGCAGCAGCGAATGCCAGAACAGATTTCCTGAGTGTAGATGCGAGGCGTGATGCAATACAAATCAGTGTCCTTGTTATCTGGCTGTCAGGGAATGTGATCCGGATCTTTGCCAAGCGTATGGTGCAGATCATTTCCAAATCAATTCTAAATCTTGCAAAAATGTTAGCGTGCAACGTGGTCTTTATAAGTTTTGAAAAATTTAATTTATTAGAGTGAAAATCAATATAATCTCAATAAGTAGAATTTTTTATTTGAAATATACTTTATTGACAATTTATTGACTTTTAAGAAACTTATTGACAATTACAATTTGAAATATCAGCAGCGAAACATGAATTCATCTAGGAATATTGCAGCGAAATTATCAGTCAAGACGAAGCTGACAGGCGGAGAAAAGTATATGATAAATATATGTGTAGTTTCCTTTTAATCTTAACAATGGTAAGTAGAGATAGATATAGTGGTTAATTAAATGTTGAAAAATAACAAAACTTAAAAGTTTTTGGTCGGTTTCAGATTTTGTTACAGACGCGACACGGAAAGGGAATAAAATAAAGTTCGCTAATCACTCGATAAATCCAAACTGTTATGCAAAAGTGATGATGGTGACCGGTGATCATGGAATGGGTATTTTTGCTAAGAGAGCGATTCAACCTAGTGAAGAATTATTTTTTGACTATAGGTATGTTGCTGTAATGTTTTGTTTAATTTATTAATTGCAAACAATTAAAATCATGCGACAATTTTCAGATATGGACCAACGGAACAATTAAAATTCGCCGGTATCGAGCGAGAAATGGAGTTTCTTTAATATATGTATATATATTATATGGACTTTTACACGTATAAGTGATGCATCAAGCGAATACATACAGCTGAAATATTAGAAAGGAAATAAGCACTGCCTGATTTGTATGTCTCTCTATTTTTAATTAAATTTTACATTTTCGTTTGTCGGCCCAATTTTGCAAAATTGTAGTAATAGAGATTTTTTGCACATGTAGATAAAGGAACTTTTTGAAATATATTCAAGTTTTTATGGACATCTCGAAACATAAAAATATCAAAGTAAAGATACACGTATACATGTTGTGAATAAATAAAATGATTTCAAATAACATCGATTTGAATATATCTCAAAAAGTTCCAACTATATTTCGCCTTGATACCATTTGATATTTACTTTGTTGTACATTTGATCATAATGAATTTTTTACAATTATGTAAAACGTGAACTTATAATGATCGATAAGATATTATTTAATTTTAGTGTGATGATACTTAACTACTGAGTTTATTAAGATTCGAGAGTACATATTCAACTCCTGCCCTTAATCATGACCCGATATATTGGGTGAGTGCAAAAGTTCGTGCGGAATTTCATTAGATGGAGTTATAAGCGTCGTAAAGTGTTGTCATTAATACTTCCATCTACATATTATATAACGTTGGAAAGGTGACGTCTTCAGCTGTTATTAAAAAAAAAATCATTTGTTTTCATACAAACTGCTTCGAGAAATATCACTTTAAAAATGAGTATCGATAAGGTGCATTTACGGCATGTTATGCTTTACGAATTTCGGAAGGGAATAAACGTTGCCGCAGCCGTAAAAAACATTCAGGATGTTTATCAGGATGAAGCACCAGCTAAACGAACTGTGGAAAAATGGTTTGCTAAATTTCGGCGCGGAGAATTTAACCTTGAAGACGAGCCACGCTCTGGTCGATCTTCTGACATTGATGACGATGTTTTGCGTACTTTAGTGCTCAATAATCCGCGAATTTCAACAGAAGAAGTTGCTACAGCACTAAACGTTGACCGATCAACCGCTTTTCGGCGTTTAAAAAAGATGGGATTCGATTTGAAGCTCGATATATGGGTGCCCCATTTGCTGACCGAGAAGAACAAAATCAAGCGAATTTCTGCAGCCGTTTCTTTATTCGGGCGGCTCAATAACGAGTCGTTTTTGGATCGACTAGTAACGGGCGATGAGAAATGGGTCCTCTATAACAATGTTCAGCGCAAACGGACATGGAAACAATCAGGTGAGCATGGTGACGCAATGCCAAAGGCCAGTTTGCACCCGATGAAGGTGATGCTCTCTGTTTGGTGGGATTGCAAGGGCATAATCTATTTCGAGCTTCTCCCCGCTGGCGAAACGATTGATTCGGACAAGTACTGTCGCCAATTAACCAATCTGAATCGAGAAATAAAAGAGAAACGTCCGATTTTGTCAAATCGCAAGGGAGTCGTCTTTCATCACGACAACGCCAGACCACACGTTTCGAAAAAGACGCTGCGCAAACTGAAGAGCCTGAAATGGGATGTCTTAACGCATCCACCGTATTCTCCTGATATCGCACCATCTGATTATCACTTGTTCCGGTCATTGCAAAATTATTTAAATGGAAAAAACTTTGACTCTTTGGAGACCTTAAAAAACGGCGTCTCTTCGTTCTTCGAATCTAAACCGCGCAGTTTTTATGATCGAGGCATCTGTATGCTGCCAGAACGTTGGGAAAAGATTATAGAAAACGATGGAAAATATATCATTGATTGAATAAAGATTTTTGTTTGCCTAATCACTGTGTGACTTTTACTCACAAACTCCGCACGAACTTTTGCACTCACCCAATATTAACAAAAGAAAATTTCGACTCAGTAATAAGATAAGAAAGAAACGGACGCAAAGGAGTGGGGCTATGTGTGCATCGCTACGAGAGCGCTGAAGAAGCATATAGCAGCGAATGCGATATATATTTATAAATAATGTATTTATAATAAATATATATAATATAATAATAAATTGTAACGAGGCGCAGATGCACCTCGTTACTACCGGCCCGACCGACCACCTGTCGGGCCGAAGAACGGCGCTTTGCGCCACCCGAAGAACTCGAAGACGATCGCGCCGTCGTTATCACGAGCCGCCGCTATCGCGCGCCGCGGCGATCACGCGCTGCCGCTAGCGCGCGCGGCCGCGATCACGCGCCGTCACCGTGCCTCGCGCCGATAGGCGCGCCGCTCGATCGCCGCCGTATCAATCGTAGCGCGAACAACTATAAAACGGCGGCGATCGAGCTCCTAGTCACCAGACCGATCCGTACCGCCGATTCGATCTAGACGCTTCATGCCGAAAGAGAGAATATCCGGACCGTTTCGCTCTGCCTTCCGCTTTCCGACTACCCGACCGGCGACTAAGAACACGGGATTGTGCGTCCGCAGTCTCAATCGAGCGTTCTCGATACTTGGCCGTCTCCCGTCTTCCTGGGCTCGTGTGTACGCGTGCTCAGTCGAGCGTACTCGACAGTCTATCACCGTTACCCGCCGCCTTGAGCCAGGGGTTCGCCCGTCGGCGAACTCCGCTGAGCGTACTCAGCCTTTAGGCGATCCGTCTAGCGACCAAGAACCCGGGACGGTGTGTCCGCCGTCTCCGCTGAGTGTCCGCAGCACTTGGTCGCTTTCCTCCACGAACGTAGGGAAAAGGGAAGGTGCGTACGCCTTCTCTGTCGAGAGTCCTCGGCCCCGACGGACGAAATCATCTCGCGTCTCCCGCGACTCGCGTGCGTGCGTTCGACCGAGAATCGAAATCTCCGGTCCGGCGACCATTTTTACGCGAGCAATTCCGAAGCGAGTATTGGGCGATAATTGTCCGAGACGCCCAGCGTCGCGAAGCGAGACCGATCACCGCGCCGTTACCGTCGTTACGGTCTACACGCGTCGCGCAATAGGCCCCGCCTTCCGCACGGCCTATCCGTTCGTACGAGCGCTCGCACCGCTCACCGCACCGCACCGTACCGTACCGACGCGCCTTATAAACGCAACCCGCGACATCGCCTTCGGGGCCGAACTCTTGTACCAAATTAAGTATAGAATAAAGCTAACGTACTTATATTCTTCTCAAACGTCTCCCTGCTTTCCTCCTCACCGAACCTGGACTCCGATGAGCCTTATCCGCGCGAAACGCGTAGCAGCGACCGAACCGCGGAGTTCGGCCGTTACAAAATAATAAAATAATGATTTTTATTAGAAAAAGAGAGAATGAGAAAACGAGAGAATGAGAGAGGGAGAGTGAGAAAGCGTGAGAGGGTCTGGGAGTGAGAGAAAGTGTGAGAGTAAGAGAGAAAATGAGTGAGAATGGCAGAGAATGGGAGAGAATGGAAGAGAATGAGAGATAGTGAGAGTGAGAGAGAGTGGAAGAGTGAGAGAGCTTGAGAGAGTTTGGGAGTGAAAGAAAGTGTGAGAGTGAAAGAGAAAATGAGAGAGAATGACAGAATGGACGAGCACAGAAGAGAACGAGAGAGAATGAAAGAAAATGAGAGTATGGGAGAGAATGAGAGAAGGTGAGAGAGAGAGAGAGAGAGAGAGAGAGAGAGAGAGAGAGAGAGAGAGAGAGAGAGAGAGAGAGAGAGAGAGAGAGAGAGAGAAAGAGAGGGTAAGAGTGATTTTTATTAGAAAGAGAGAGAGAGAGAGAGAATGAGAAAATGAGAGAGAATGAGAGAGAATGGGAGAGAATGAGAGAGGGTGAGAGAATGGGAGAGGGAGAGTGAGAGAGTGTGAGAAGGTTTGGGGATGAGAGAAAGTGAGAGTGAGAGAGAAAATGAGTGAAAATGACAGAGAATGGGAGAGAATGAGAGAGAATGAGAGAGAATGAGAGAGAGAGAGAAAGTTTTGAGAGTGAGAGAAAGTGTGAGAGTGAGAGAATGAAAGAATGAAAGAGAATGAGAAAGAGCTAGAGAGAGTGGAAGAGAGTGAGAGAAAGAAAGTGAGAGAGTATATATTGATATATATATTGGTATGGTTGTATATACATACATACCAATATAGGTACGTATGTACGTAGTACGTATGTATCTATTAAGTTTATATAATATTATAATAAATTATAAACCTTCACTATAGAATATACTTATCGAATGTGTATATATTCTACATATTTTGATATTTTTCTATTCAAAGATGTTATTCTTGTTATAATTGACGAAATGTCAATGATATCTAATTTGACTTTAAAAAACTATCTCGAATTAAAACTTGATTAATACATACATGACAGCATTTTTATTATAATAAAGTGTCCTTGTAAATTCTCTTTACATTACAAGTAAAATTTATATCAGGTGTAGTAAAAAGAAATCCATTATTTTTCTAATAGATGGCTTTAGTTATCTGTATCTCGCGTTGTATAAGTCCGATCGGGTTCCACTGGACGGCGTTAGAAAGATGAGATTTCGTACTAAAAAAACTTTTCTGACAGTTTTGTGATTAGTTGACTCAGTTTTGTTTGAGCGCGCGTCAAAGATGGACACTAGCAAAGAGAAAATACGCTATAGTTTACAGTTTTTCTTCGATAAAGGCGAAAACGCAAGCTAGGCAGCTGAAAATGTGAATAGTGTTTATGGTCCTGATACTGTAACAGCCAATCACGCGCAATTTTGGTTTCGTCGATTTCGTTCCGGTAATTTCGATGTCAAAGATGCACCACGCACTGGAAGGCCAATTGTCGAAAATATCGATAAAATCATGGACATTGTCGATTCCGACCGTCATGTAAGCACTGTTTCAATTGCCCAAGAGCTAAAGATTGCACAAAAAACCGTTTGGAACCATTTGAATAAGGCTGGATACAAAAAGAAGCTCGATGTATGGGTGCCACACGAGTTAACGCAAAAAAAACCTCATGGACCGAATTTCCATCTGCGAATCGCTGCTGAATCGCAACAAAATCTACCCATTTCTGAAGCGGTTGGTCACTGGTGATGAAAAGTGGATCACTTACGACAACGTCAAGCGAAAACGGTCGTGGTCGAATCGCGGTGAGCCGGCGGAAACGGTGGCCAAGCCAGGATTGACGGCCAGGAAGGTTTTGCTGTGTGTTTGGTGGGATTGGCAGGGAATTATCTACTATAAGCTGCTCCTCTACGGCAAAACTCTTAACTCGGAACTGTACTGTCAACAATTGGACCGTCTGAAGGAAGCAATCGCCCAGAAGCGGCCAGCTTTGGCCAATAGGAGAGGAATTGTGTTCCATCAGGACAACGTCAGGCCACACACATCGATAGTGACTCGCCAGAAGCTCCGGGAGCTTGGTTGGGAGGTTCTTATGCATCCACCTTATAGTCCGGACCTGGCACCAAGTGATTACCATCTGTTCCTGTCCATGGCGAACAATTTTGCTGGTGAAAAATTCGCTTCAAGAGAGGCTTGTGAAAATCGACTGTCTCAATTTTTTGCCAATAGGGACGAGGGCTTCTATGAGAGAGGCATAATAAAATTACCTTCAAAATGGCAACAAGTTATCGAACAAAACGGCGCATATTTGACCTAAATCGGATCATTCTAACTATGGT